ACAAGTTGATTTACTTGATTAGTCACTCAGGCTAGCAGAGCCAAAGGCACATACCTCTTTGGCTCACCGTGTATACCAGAAGCTTATCAGCTGAAAATCCACACATATGTCTTGCTTGGCGTGAGCTCGTGTTAATTACGGGTTATTGAGACACCTCATTTAGTTAAATCGACTAAATTATGTGATCTGTCTGGAGTCTGGATGGCTGCAGGTGTCTGGCAATTACTGCCGCATGTCTATATGATAATTATCGGCACTAATGGGGCGAGTGATCCAGCCCTGAGCAGCAGCAGGGATTTGAGCCTGAGCTCCATCTAAGCTCCTCATAAGCGATTAATGGGATTTACGTTTTGTTTTCCAGAAATATCCAGCAGCATGAGCTTAAGAGCGATGCACCTGAACGTGCCGAGGGCCGTACGAGTTGGACACTCTGTAACATTGGGATGCCAATACGATCTGGAAGGAGCTGCTTTGTACTCAGTGAAATGGTATCGGGATCAAGTGGAGTTTTACCGATTTGTGCCAAAAGAAGAGCCTCCGATCCGCGTGTTTCCAATCGATGGCATCCGAGTCGATGTAAGTAGTCGCTCAAAATAAAAAAAATAAAAAATGTTTGCATGATAACTCACTTCTCTGGCCGCTCTCACACCGTCGTAAAGCATGATTTAGGGTCCAAACGGTTTTTCATGTTTGGAAATAAAACTGAAATATCGTCTGCTGTTTAATGACGCCGAAATATGACGTTGTTTTACGGCGCTCCAGTCGATAAATCGCCGCCCGATGCCACTGGAATAGATTAATTAGTCGCTAAATATCGACAAGAAGAGGTGGCAAGCAGTGGAGGGCTTTTTATCGGCCTGGAAACGATTGTTCCGAAGCAATTTTCGGAACTATTCACCTAATGAAGACACCGTTTCCTTCAGCGGCAGACAAAAGGAAATTAAGGCGACAGCGACTCATCCTTTGACGACTCAATTTATCTGCTCGGTTTACTTTCGCAATCGCGTTTATCCATTTGGTGCCAAAACACTTCAAAAGGAAAAGAGAGCGATTAATTCATTTGCCCTTTATGCATGCGGACTAAGCCGGGGTAACACTGAGTTGAGTTGCGTTTTTGAGTTGGTGTCGCCCTCTGAGTTGATGAGTTATAACTCATTTAATGTGCGTTGAGTTGGCGCACCAAGCCATTGCGTAGCACTGCGCTAGCTCTTAAAAATTCATTGAGTTGCCCAGGTCTACTGCGGACACAAAATTTTTTTGCCTCGGATGACTTTGGCGAGAATATTTGCCTCAAAGCAAACACTTTAGTAAGTCGGAAGGGGTTAAAATAGCACTCACTGCAGTACTAAAGAACCGGTGCCAACTTAAAAGTCCACTAAAAATTTTCAGATTTTTTGGGAAATGGCAGGAAGGAAATTTTGACAAGTTGGCGGTAACTTAAACTTCATTTTTCAACTTAAACTCCATTTCTTTTGAACTTGACACTTAACTTTGAGGCCCTGTAGCTGTCACACTGATGATGGCATAAAACCGAAACTTTTCTGATCTATGGAAGCAAGTGCGCTCTTCCTAATTCGTGAGCCACCATCGATTCGTTTCACTCACTTTGGCAGGAAGGAATTTTTCAAAAGTTGGTCGCAACTTGGACTCAATTTCTTTTGAACTTGGCACTTAACTTTAATGACTCGTAGCTGCCTCACTGATGATGACCCCAAAACGAAACTTTTCTGATCTATGGAAGCAAGTGCGCTCTTCCTAATTCGTGAGCCACCATCGGTTCGTTTCACTCACTTTGGCAGGAAGGAATTTTTCAAAAGTTGGTCGCAACTTGGACTCAATTTCTTTTGAACTTGGCACTTAACTTTAATGACTCGTAGCTGCCTCACTGATGATGACCCCAAAACGAAACTTTTCTCATCTGTGGAAGCAAGTACGCCCTTTCTAACTCGTGGGCCACCATCGGTTCGTCTCACTCACCTTGGCAGGAAGGAATTTTCAAAAGTTGGCCGCAACTTGGACTTAATTGTTTTTGGACTTGGCACTTAACTTTGATGACTCGTAGCTGCCTCATTGATGACGTCCCAAAAACGAAACTTTTCTCATCTGTGGAAGCAAGTGCGCTCTTTCCAACTCGTGAGCCATCATCGGATCGTCTCACTCACTTTAGCAGGAGGGAATTTTTCAAAAGTTGGTCGCAACTTGGACTTAATTGTTTTTGAACTTCGCACTTAACTTTGATGAGCCGTAGCTGTCTCACTGATGATGCCCAAAAACGAAACTTTTCTCATCTGTGGAAGCAAGTGTGCCCTTTCTAACTCATGAGCCATCATCGGTTCGTCTCACTCACCTTGGCAGGAAGGAATTTTTCAAAAGTTGGTCGCAACTTGGACTTAATTGTTTTTGAACTTCGCACTTAAGTTTGATGAGCCGTAGCTGCCTCACTGATGATGCCCCAAAAACGAAACTTTTCTCATCTGTGGAAGCAAGTGCGCCCTTTCTAACTCGTGAGCCACCATCGGTTCGTCTCACTCACCTTGGCAGGAAGGAATTTTTCAAAAGTTGGTCGCAACTTTGACTTAATTGTTTTTGGACTTGGCACTTAACTTTGATGACCCGTAGCTGCCTCACTRATGATGCCCAAAAAACGGAACTTTTCTCAGCTGTGGAAGCAAGTGCGCTCTTTCTAACTCGTGAGCCACCATCGGTTCGTCTCACTCACTTTGGCAGGAAGGAATTTTTGAAAAGTTGGCCGCAACTTAGACTCAATTGTTTTTGGACTTGACACTTAACTTTGATGAGCCGTAGCTGCCTCACTGATGATGCCCCAAAAATGGAACTTTTCTCAGCTGTGGAAACAAGTGCGCTCTTTCTAACTCGTGAGCCACCATCGGTTCGTCTCACTCACTTTGGCAGGAAGGAATTTTTCAAAAGTTGGTCGCAACTTAGACTCAATTTCTTTTGAACTTGGCTCTCAACTTTGAGGCTCGCTCTATAGCTCCCACACTAATGATGGTCCAAAAGCGAAACGTTCCTCATCTATGCAAGCAAGTGTGCTCTTTCTAACTYGTGAGCGACCATCGGTTYGTCTTGCTCACTTTGGCAGGAAGGAATTTTTCAAAAGTTGGTCGCAACTTAGACTCAATTTCTTTTGAACTTGGTACTCAAGTTTGAGACTCTGTAGCAAGTTTGGTGACAATTTTTTTGCAAAAATAGTAGTTYGGTGGAGTTTTAGAGCTTTGMCTTTTYAAGCGGTTARCAAGCAATTTTGGATTAAGTCMARTATACATACATCAAAAGYATGTCAAAAGTTGCTTCAAAAAGCTGCTAAGATTTCCCAGATTTTGTGAAAAAAACTGAGATTTTGSKAACATTTAAGTGGCAGCGTTGCCTATTCAATGAAATGACACACGACCATCTATAAAGATATTGACATTCGAATAATGARTGTTTGAAGRAGAACCTACAGAACCAACAGAAGCCAAATGATGCCTGTCAAAGTGTAGTTCTCAAATTCCGCCAAYATTCTGCAGATTTTTTTRCATTTTTTCGGATTACTTCACAAAAACGAAACTTKTACTACTTACGCATCAGGTGTAACCTCAAAAGCCCAAAAGCCCGTTATCTATATTTTTTTGTAAAAAATGAAACCTGCMCTGCATTAAGAATGGGTGGCTTTCCACCCAAGTGACAAARAATKTTCYAGCTAATTCAGCTTTGGCACTATTAATTTTTGAAAACRCACCGACGCTACTAAGGAAAGCGAATCGAACTTTTGACATTCCAGTCGAGTGTCAAGTAGSTTGTCAAAATTCATTCTTGTTTTGCAGGTGTCAGTGTCAAATGCCAACAATGTCAGCCTGCTGGCTGTCGAGCGTCACATTTCCGGCCAATTYCAGTGCGAAGTTTCAGCCGACGCTCCTTCATTTCACACCCAGTCAATGTCACTGCCGATGACAGTTGCAGGTGAGTTAMGAAACTAACCGAARAATGGCGAATTTCGTAAAATCTGTCCGTGTGCCAGTTAGATTTCCATTTCCGCGCCCTCATTTGGCAAGCATTCCGGCCATTTATYATCATATTAGGTATTGTAGCGGAGTACAAGAGATGTAATTTATGTGACAAAATACTGTGGCATTAAATTAATTCAGAGTGCCAGGCCGGAGACTGCAAAATCGACTTTGTCACCACGGTTTTTGGTTTTTGCTACTTGGCCCGGACTTTATGGGCGGCATATTTCATACTTTATGGTTTGCATAATGCAATTGCATCAAGCAACTAATGGACTAATTTCCATGCTTGACAGAAAAACCTGGACTCTACGGCCGATTTTCCTCACTCCTCTGGGCCTTATTAGATGCGACCGACAAGTTTCCCAATCAATTTCCCCAGTTTCACAGCCCTAATCGCTTTAGGTCTGCCCTTGATGTGAAACCGGCCCAATTTAAATGCGCAATTAGTGCCAGTGAATTGGGCGTTTTGGATATTTTGAAAATTTACCCCAGTTTCTCTGAATGCAACCGAAAATTTCACATTCAGAATGCGCTTTGTCCTCGTTTGAAATAACGGTCACGGCAAGGGCGGATTCAGGGGGGGGGTCATGAGGGTCATG